GCCGATGCCTCCGTCGCCTGGCTGGAGTGGCCGCGGGGGAGTCTGGAGTCGGGCGGCCGCTGGTGGGAGCCGCGGGTGCCCGGGCCGAGATTGGGGGGGCAAGGCGGGCGACAGAAGGCCGATGCCTCCGTCGCCCGGCCCTCTACAGAATCCACCCCCCAAACCTCCAGGTATTTCCCTCCTTAGAGCTGGCAACCCTACATTCCCCTCAGTGCCTGTTGGTAGGCAACTAAGCTTGGTCCTGTCACCTACTTTGGCCTTTGGGAGAAAACACATTGGGGCCAGTCCTGATAGGGTTGCCAACTCCAGATGGGAAATTCCTGGAGATTTGAGGGATGGAGCCTGAAGAGGGTGAGGTTTGAGGAGGGGTGGGACCTCAGACAGGTACACTGCCATAGACTCCACCCTCCAAACCAGTCAGTCTCACATAGGGAACCATTGTTGCCAATCTCCAGGTGAGGGCTGGAGAGCACTCAGTATTACAACTGCTCTGCAGAAGGGAGGGCAGAAGTCAGCTGAAGTCAAAGGGGCAGATAATGGTAGGTTGGTGGCTAGCTGGGAAGGAGATGGGGTTGCCAACTACATGCTGACAAATTCCTGGGGATTTGAGGGGTGGAGCCTGGAGAGGGTGGGGTTTGCAGAGGGGTGGGACCTCAGACAGGTAGAATGCCATAGACTACACCCTCCAAACCAGCCACTTTGTCCTGGGTAACAATTGCTGCCAATCTCCAGGTGAGGGCTACAGATCACTCACAATTACAACTGCTCTTCAGGTAGCAGAGATCAGTTCCTCTGGAGAAAACAGTGGACTCTGTCATTATATCCTGCTGAGGTCACCACAGCAAATTGACACTGTTTGCCCAAAGCCAGAGCACTGCCCCAGAGCCTCTTTCTAGATCCCGCCCCGTTGTATTGCTTTCACAACAGGCTTTACTGCTAGTTATCTATAAATATCAAACCGACCGCCCCTCCTTATCAACCTTACTCTCTCAACCGACAGTACTAAAGAATATATACTACTGTATATCTACAATTTAAGACTTTTTATCTTACTTTAACACTTTCATTTTATTATTTTTTATTTATATACGTATTTTTACTCCTTTTTTATTATTTCCTTATTTTCCTTGTTTACCCCCCAGCTGCTCTAACCAGGATCGTCTTTTAACTATTTTTCACTTAACAGATTACTGCAACTTTCCATTTCTTCGTTTACAGTCATTTCACACTTTAATAGCAGACAACCATCCTGTTTCCATGGTCTCATGCCTAAAAATACACGCAGAGAAAAGCCCTTTCTTGAACATACTTTTGGAACTATAATTTATACCTTAAATTTAATCATATTAATTTTATCACTCTCCAAGGGCAAAAACAAAAGAAGAAACAGACACCCTAATACAACTTAAATGTTACAATCCATTCATACTGATTGCCACACATATTCAAGACTATCACTCATACCTTATACCTCTTCATTCCATTATACCCATATATCATATCAATTCATTCCATTCAACAACCAGAAACGAACATACCCTTAATAACTCATAAAACTTTAACCCACTTTTATATGTCTCTAATTCATACCTTGATACACCCAATAAAAAAGTTTTTAAATTCATACTTTAGTGACCCTCTAATCATATCAATTCATTCCATTTTGCCTCCTAATCATACCAGTTCAACTCATTTCCAACAGCTTATACATACTTTTGGAACTATAATTTATACTTTTAATTTAATCATATTAATTTTAGCACTTTCCCAGAGAAAAAACAAAAGAAACAAATACCGCCTAAATATTGCAATCCATTCATATTAACTTACCACACATTTTTAAGACCGTCACTCATACCTTATATCTCTTCATTCCATTTTACCTATCTATCATAACAATTCATTCCATTTAACAATAAAAAACTAGCATAACCTTACTAACTCATGAATCTTTACCCCACATTTATAAATCTCAAATTCATACCTTAATATACTCAAAAATTTCAATTCATACTTCAATGACCCCTCTAGTCATATTAATTCATTCGACTTTGCCCCTTAATCATACCAAATCAATTCATTTCCAACAGAAACCAAAAAGCATATGCAAAATAGGCTTTTCATATATTTTAGACCGTCTTTTAAAGCTCTGAAGCTTCTTCTTGTGTAGCACCTTATCCAGATGATTCCTTCCCTTGTAAAGGTGGCATGTCCCTTTTAATTTCTTCTCGCGGGCTTTCCGCAGTTCGTATCTCCATCTCGTTTTTTCCTTTTTTACCTTCCAAACAAATCTCACCTGCCTCTTTCTTCTCCAATTTTTCTTCTCATTAACAAAGGGTCGCAACATTTTCCTTCTTAATACCTCCCTCTTCAAACACCTCTTGTTGACTGTCTTTTTTTAATTCCATTTTTTAGTCTCTTTGCTTTTAGCCTTTTCTTGCATACACATAGAAGTCTCTCCCGAACATAGCTTATCTCTCCCGAACACAACTTAGAAAATCATCCAACAAAATTAACGAAGCAAGACCAACAAGAGTTTTTATTTATCTTAAACCAAACGGTATAATGAAGAGATAATTATTCTGGCAGTTATTTTCACCATTCCTGTTTCTAATCGAATCATGGCGTTTGAGACAGAGTTTGGGACCCGTAATACTGCCTTTAGAAATTTAGATTGAACCCGTTCTCATGGCAAAAAGCGAGACTCAGACGGGCCTAAAAAGGTTCCATATAATAATTGTGGTATAATCTTACATTTGAAAAGTTTAAGGGCAGCTGGAACAAAGTTCCCCCCCTTAGAACTTTATTATGCTTAGAGCTGTCTTTTCTCCTTGGTCCGCCACATAATTACTAGGAGCCGTCCTAGTGCCAGAGGCTTGTACCACCTTCCCACCAGTTTGGTGTAGTGGTTAAGTGCGCGGACTCTAGTCTGGGAGAACCGGGTTTGATTCCCCACTCCTCCACTTGCACTTGCTGGATGACCTTGGGCAAGCCGTAGTTCTGATAAGAGCTGTTCTTGAAAAAGAGCCGTTTCTGTCAGAGCTCTCTCAGCCCCACCCACCTCACAGGGTGTCTGTTGTGGGGAGGGGAAGGGAAAGGAGTTTGTAAGCCGCTCTGAGACACCTTTGGGTAGTGAAGGGCGGGGGATAAATACAATCTCTTCTTCTTCTTCTTCCCCAGATATCTAAAGGAAGAGACTTGTGACAGACATTTTCCATTCATTAACCAGCGTCTCAATTTATGGGACTTATTAAAGGACATTACCTTGGTTTTCTCGTAATTAATTACAAGCTGCTGTTCATTACAATATGTAGCAAAAGCTACAGAGGGCTCTTTTTAGCCCCACTGGAGTTCTTGAAAGAAGAACGGCATCGTCCGGATAGAGCAGCGCTGAAATATGTTTATGAGCCAATTTAGGAGGAGGATGTCTACTTACGTTAAACAGCTTTACCACATCATTTCTATAGAGAATGAAGAGTAGAGGGGCAAGGAGACATTCCTGTCTAACCCCCTTCGAGGTGGTAATGGGTTCTGTGAGATGTCCTTGTTTATTATATTTAACTCTTAAGGAAGGTATGCTGATCTAAAGCTCGAATTTAGAAAAGGAGTCAGTACCCACACTCAATATTTTATTAATTAAAATATTGATACCCTGCCTTTCCCCAGTTTGGTGATCCAGCTTGGTGTAGTGGTTAGGAGCTCCTCCTCATGCAGCTGCTGGTGTGACCTTGGGCCAGTCACAAGTTCTCTCACAGCTGTTGTCCCACGGGCAGTCCTCCAAAGAGCTCTCTCAGCCCCGCCTATCTCACAGGATGTCTGTTGTGGGGAGGGGAAGGAGTTTGTAAGCCGTTCTGAAACTCCTTTGGGTAGTGAAGGGCGGGATATAGATCCATTCTCTCCTTCTTCTTCTTCTTCCCTGTGGTTCAAGGTGGATTACAATCAATGTTCCCTCTAAGCTGCGGAGTCTTGTGAGCAAAAATTCTCCTCTGTGAGCTCCTGGCATTCAAGTTGTGAGCGAGCGATTTGGCTACTGCGTAAATTAGTCTGCTCTGGAGCCCTCCTTCCTGAGCTGAGGCAAAAATATGTGAGCTGGAGGTTTAAAAACTGTGAGCTAGCTCACACTAACTCAGCTTAGAGGGAACACTGGTTACAATTGTAAATTAAAACCATCAGTCATAAAATCTGATCCTGTCAATGCCCCCTAGAAAACGCCTCGGGTGCCTCTAGTGGCCACCACCCAAACTGCACGCTTACCAGTTGCCCTCACAAAGGACGGTGACTTCACTGATTGTTACCCCTTCCCAGTTGCCAGCCCTGGGGTTGTCTCCTGACAGGCACCCCAGCTGAATCGGTGTCACTTCACGGTGGCCAAAGAACCAGCAGGTTCCACGGGTAACATCATGCGCCTATGAAGTAAAAGGCACACCAGAAAGGGCTATTGCTCCTGCATTGATCGTAAACCTCTGCCACGGGGTTACTTTCCTTGCTCCTGTTTCTTTCTCTCTGAAAAACAAGACAAAACTTCATTGGCACCTCTCATGGAAGACAACCACCACCTCTCTCCATGTGTGTCCTGTGTTTCCCCAAGGCTCTGGCCCACGTCTTTAAAATCTATTTCAAGGCCAGTTATAATTTCGAATCCAGGACCTGGCCCATCGAATTCCAGTGGGACGAGCCGTACAATGGTGGCAATGCCCGAGGCTGTATCAGAGGCCGAGGACGCCAGATCCTCGTCAAAGCGGCGTCGCAACTGTTCCCGCCGGTATCGGCGTTCGTCGGGCCAGGCGGAGACCGGGTTACCGGCTGGCGCTTTCTCAGTGGCGCCAAACAGCTGCCCGGCCAACTGGCCAGCTACGTCATGGCCCACTCCTTAGGTCGCTGGCTGCTCTACCCGGGCTCCATGTTCCTCCTGAACCAAGCCTTGCTGCCAATCCTGGCAAAGGGTCAAGCTCGCCTCCAGGAGGAATACCACGGGAAACGTGCCAAGCTGATGGCTCGGGATGGGAATAAGATCGACACCATGTTTGTGGACAGGAGGGCGGCGGCGGACGCGGCGGAACATCGAGGGAAGCAGCTCGTCGTGTGTTGCGAGGGGAACGTCAGCTTCTACGAATGGGGTTGCCTTTCCACCCCCTTGCAGACCGGATATTCCGTGCTGGGGTGGAACCACCCCGGTTTCGGGGGGAGCACCGGCCAGCCCTACCCGCAGAACGACGCCAACGCGGTGGACGTGGTGATCCAGTATGCAACCCGCTGCCTGGGCTTCAAGCTGCAAGACATCATTGTCTACGGTTGGTCCTTGGGGGGCTACTCAGCCACCTGGGCTGCGATGACCTACCCGTCGCTCGGGTCCTTGGTCTTGGACGCCACCTTTGACGACCTGCTTCCCTTAGCCCTGAACGTCATGCCCAAGAGCTGGAAGAAGCTGGTAGTGCGGACGGTGAAGGACCACTTCAACCTCAACGTGGGCGAACAGCTGTGTAAGTACTCTGGGCCGGTCTTGTTGATCCGGAGGACCAAGGACGAGGTCATCACCACCTGTCCGGATCTCGAGGACCAGGTCACCAATGTCCGCTACAACAGGGCTAACGAACTCCTGCTCCAACTGCTGGAGCATCGCTACCCGGACGTCATGACGCACGAAGGGCGGGCCGCGGTCCACGACTGGCTCAGAGCCGCCAACCCCAGCCAGGAAGCGGCGATCTGCCGCCGTTATAAGGTCGACGAGGAGTGGTGTCTCGGGGAGCTCCAGAGCTACAAGTCGGGCCAAGGACTCGAAATCCGTTTCCCTTGGAGGGTCGGGAAGTTTATGGCCTCCAGAGACAAGCAGCAGATAGCCCTCTTTTTAGCACAGAAGCATATGAAAAACATTGAGGCCTCACACTGGTCCCTACTTAAACCCAACGATTTCCAGATGCCCTGGAAGTTATAGCTGGAACAGAGAAGGTGGGAATACAAGAGAGAGAGAGGCAATGAAAAAGTGAGAAAGAATTCTGAATCAGTGAGGCCCTGTTGTGTTTTTCCAGTAATGATACATGCCTTTTAGGGGAGGGGGAGAACACCGATTTACAGGGCTATTTTTGGGCAGGAACGGAGTTCCGGCTGGCTCCCCAGTTGGCCATGCCCAGCAGGAACTCATTAGCATAATAGGCCACACCCAACAGCAGAAACTCATTCGGATTGGCTACATTAGGGGTGTGTGGCCTAACATGCAAAGGAGTTCCGACTACAAAAAAAGCCCTGGGTTTTGACAACAAACAAGGTAAGCAGAATAAGAAGCAAAAGGTGGGTGTGGCTGGATGAGCACACTTCTGGTAACATGGGGGTGCGGCCTAATGTGCTAATGAGCTGTGCTGTCAGGGGTGTGATCTAATATGCTAATGAGTTCCTGCTGTTGGGTGTGGCCTATTATGCTAATGAGTTCCGGCTGGGCTTTTTCTACAAAAAGAGCCCTGGCCGATCAGCAGTGCTATGCTCCCTCTAAGCCGTGGAGTCTTGTGAGCAAAAATTCTACTTTGTGAGCTGCTGGCATTAAAGTGGTGAGCGAGCGATTTGGCCGCTGAATAAATCAGTTTGCTCTGGAGCCATCCCTTCCTGAGCTGAGACAAAAATGTGTGAGCCAGAGGCTAAAAAACTGTGAGCTGGCTCACACTAACTCAGCTTAGAGGGAACAATGGGTCACTGGTAACTTATGGTTCTTACTCGCAATGCTACACAGCATGGGGTGGGACGGCAGGCTCTATTTCACCTCCTCTTGAACTCCTCTAGTCTAGACAATCGTGCTGAGAGGTGGAGAGATCAGGAACCTGGTCTTTTTTTTTTCTGGTGGCCTCTAAGATCTGGGCGAAGCTTGAGAAACTCCGCCTCCCACTTTAGCGAGTACCATTTTGAAGTTACCAAGGAAGCTTCGTAGCAGAACTGGGAACAGGGGTCATCTCGTAGAAAAAGATGTGCAGGAGCTCATTAGCATAACTCATTAGCATAACCTATTTGCATATGCCACGCCCCCTGACATCACCGGAAGTGTGTCAGAAGGCAACACCCACCGCTCAGGCTCCACTGGACTGTTTTGGACTGCTAGCTATTGGGGGGGGGGATGTGCAGATCTGTCCTCGCAGAGGAGGGAGAGCTTGTACCTGAATAAAACTTGGTCTTCAAGGTGCCACTGGACTGTTTTGGACCGGGGGGCTGGGGGGGCCCTCTGCAACTTACCTGGCTGCTTCTTGCTCTGACTGAGGGCTGCTGGGAGCAGGGGGTGTGGCTTGTTGCATGTGCCCACCCCCTGGGCTCTTTACTGCCGAAGCTCCGTTCCTGTGCGCTCCAGCAGGAAATGACCCCTGACTGGGAAAGATGGACCACCGTCTGGAAAAGTGGTGGAGTTTGAGTCAGAGGCAGGAATACGGTGAGACCAGGAAGGGGGGAGGGGGAGAATCAGGCCATGACTTGGAATGGCTGGCATGAGTACTTCACAAGAAAGCAAGAAACTCTCACAAACCAACTCTCTCACTCCCTTTGTCCTCTCACACACTGCACATGCCCTTCCATGGAGGCACATGCCTCTGCAGGTCTCTCCTGTTGAGACAAATGCCCTCATACTCCCACACCGAGGTTTTAATTGCTTTAACGATGCGTGGCTTCTTTTCTTGTTGGTTTTAACGGCTTTTAAAGCGTGATCCTTCTATGCACGTGTTAATTCATTAGCCGTCCTTGTGGCCCTTCTGAGGGGGAAAGGTGGGGCATGCGACTGAACAACAACAACAAATGCATTTCGTAAAATCAATCAGCCACTCTCAATCCAGAGTTAGAGCATTCCGGATAAATGGGTGGTTCAGGTTCTCCTTGAAGACACCCCCCCCCCTCCAGCCACAGTTGATCAGGACCTCTGGGACAGTTAAGTACGACACAAAATGAATAAATGACTCCTATCCTGTGGAGGGAAATGAAAGTGGAAGAAGGGGTTGCCGGAAGTCTGTAAGGCAGGCAGATGTCTCTAAAAGCAGAAAGGATATAAATTAAAAGAACATTTGTACCGGGGCCTTAGACAAAAGAGATACCTGGCTTAGTAGTGCCACCTACTGCCCAGAGGAGGTATTACAAGCAGAAAGAAAAACAAAGTTGGAGTCCAGTGGCACCTTTAAGACTAACAACATTTTGTTCAAGGTATGAGCTTGCGTGTGCAGCAGAAGGAAGGAAAGGGAGAGGGATTCTTGCATCTTCTTGAGCCAGTTTGGTGTCGTGGTTAAGAGCGGCGGACTCTAATCTGGGAGAACCGGGTTTGATTCCCCACTCCTCCACTTGCACCTGCTGATGTGACCTTGGGTCAGTCACAAGTTCTCTCGGAGCTCTCTCAGCCACACCTACCTCACAGGGTGTCTGTTGTGGGGAGAGGAAGGGAAAGCGGTTGTAAGCCGCTCTGAGACTCCTTCAGGTAGTGAAAAGTGGGGTATAAAAACCAACTCCTTTTCACTCTTCTTCTTTTATATACGAAGTGGGTTTTTAAATTACGCAGACTTCAGCTTCTCTGGTAGGAAGATATCCATGTACCCCTATTCTCGACGTTTTTGTCCTTGTCTGTCAAATGTGACTGAAACAGTTAAACATGTGCTACTTTATTATGTTGCTATTATTATGTTGTTGTTGTTATTATGTGGCTATTAGCCACAAGGTATAGACAGGGGCAAGTGATGCTCTGTATTCTTGGTGCTTGGGGGGGGTCAACAGCGGGAGGGCTTCTAGTGTCCTGGCCCCACTGCTGGACCTCCTGAGGGCACCTGGTCTTTTTGGCCACTGTGTGACACAGAGGGTTAGACTGGATGGGCCATTGGCCTGATCCAACATTGGCTTCTCTTATGTTCGTATATGGAGCAGAAGTCCATCAGTGGCTATTAGCCACGAGGTATAGATAGGGACTCTCGGTCTGGGGCAAGGGATGCTCTGTATTCTTGGTGCTTGGGGGGGGGGCAACAGTGGGAGGGCTTCTAGTGTCCTGGTCCCACTACTGGACCCTCTGATGGCCCCTGGTATTTCTGGCCACTGTGTGACACAGAGGGTGCGTTCAGACGGGCATTTAAGCCGGTATAGATCCCAGTTAGAATCAGAGTACTTACGCACGATCACACCGCGAACATCTGCCTTCCGTCCCTAACCGTCACAAACACCCTTTAAACCGGTTTATTCTGCTACTAGGTCCCCAAGTGGTGGTATCCTGAGTGCTCCAGTTCCAACCGCATTATCCCTGTCTGATCGCTCTCTGCCAGTGTAGAGCCACTTCCGTTCGGACGCCTGAGGCTTCCGCTTTTTGGCCACCTTTTTTTTTTTAGCCACCTCGATGTGCGCTTGGGCAAAGCTTCGCCCCGGTGTTTGTAAAGAAAAAAAGATGCTTAGTTTTAGGCTGCAGATGAGTCCAGGACCTCACGGAGGCCCTTTTCGCTGTAAAGGGAAGTCTTCGCTTCAGGGCACGCTTTTCGGGAGGGAATGTTCTGTGCCTGCACGAAGATCTCAATTCTGTGGATGGCTGCCTATGCGCATGTGCAAAATGTAAAAACCCCCAAAAACCCGCCGACGCGCGCTGCTGCGCGTTGGTAGTGTGAACGGGCATATCGCAATGTGCTGCGCAATCAGGAGGTGAGTGTGATCGCGTTTCTTCCAGATAAAACTGCTCCGTTTCCAACTGGAGCAGTTTATGTCAGCTTAAATGGCCTGTCTGAACGCACCCAGAGTGTTGGACTGGAGGGTCCATTGGCCTGATCCAACATTGGCTTCTCTTATGTTCTTATGTTCTTATTGTTTATTTTATAAGGATAGTTGTTCCTTCTAAATTAAATGGAGCCTATCGTACTTTTATGGAGCTCAAGTGGTTAAGACGCTGAA